GACGCACGTTATGGAGGTGATCACGTCCTTGTTGCGGAGCATGACGAGGTTCTGCACGAGGGACTTGCGCGTGTCGGGCGAGAGCGTGCCGTAGCTCTCGCGGAGGAGCGCGGCGAGGTGGGTGGGGAAGTCGGCGGTCTCCTTCGGGTAGCACTGCGCGACCTGCGCCGAGCACCGTCGGATGGGGTTTTCTACGTACACGTGAGACGACAACGACGCACCTGCGCGATGAAGGCGACGAGCTCGCGGAAATGCTGCGCCTGCTCGTCAGGGTTGATGTGGAAGATCTGGCGGATGCTGTTGTAGTGGTTCCATTGCTGCAGGAACTCCTCCTTGTACGCCGCGGGGTCGCGCTTGATGAGGTTCTGCAGTTGCGGCAGGTTCGAGGTGAGCAGCACGCCGCGCCCCATGTTGGACGTGAGGAGCGAAATTTAACCTGGAGGAGTGGCTGCAATTGGCAGGTGCCCCGCGCGAGTTGCCGCCAGGGACGAAGCCTTTGGACAATAAGACCAAACATATGCGGAGCGCCGAACACCCAGCGCCTCCACCGAACTTCGGCATACAAATAATGTGATATCTGCAGTTGATATTTAAAAAGTCCGGCTGGCGTCGCGCATCCCAGAGACTCAATCAAGACCCCTTCAACTGTCCACCACACATATCCGATCTTCCTTTCTGCAAGCGTGCCACAGGATGTCGGGGCAATACTGGACTGGAAGAACTCATGCTAGCTCAATGCGATGCTCTCCATAGCATTCAATAATACCGCTGAAATGCCGGATTGTTTCTGCACGTGGATTGTGGTGAGCACTCCGGATGTCCTCGTGCAGTAATCCCGTTCGAGCAACGTAGGTTCTATCGTGGCCCAGCGAGCGGGTTTTCTGGATCCAAATTATGCGCGAGGGGTGCGCCAATGGGCCGAATGTGCTGTGCAATGGTCTCACCGCATGCTCGTGCCGCATATCAGTCTCTCTCTCATGAGATCCATCCTAGCCGCTTCATCCTCGAGTCCTCAAGGAAGCGCCATTTGGTTGAGCCCGAATGTATTGTTCACCCCATGTCAACGCCTGCCACAAACTCGTCCCCCCCTGCACCAAGAGGGGTACACATTGCCGTTACAATCTTCTCATTACTGATGACTGCGGGTGTCCGAACATGGACGAGGACACAGATATCAAACAGTGACACGTTTCGCATCCCGCACGGCCCTATGGTATGTAATGGCAAACTCTCGTGTATGTGCTCGTAGCTTGGCAGATTACGCCCATGCAGCTGTTGTTTTTCTTGCATTGTCCATTGGGGTGATGGCTAGACCGAGAGCCAATCCTGAGGTATTCTACCCAGAGCAGTTCGAGAATATGGAGACTGTCGAGAAGGATCCACGCTTTCGTTTTTGCTGGTGCGGTACGTCGCGTTGTTTGGTCAGTTACCCAGCATCGATAGATCTTTCTAGCGAACTTCTGATCTGTGCACAAGCTCCAGCCTATTATGCTTCCCTATATAAACTGGTGGCCATGATACTGGTATTGTCGTCAATTCAATGCTCAGAGATCCAGATATCTATCTCAACTGACACACTCTACCCTGAGCATTTGAAAACATGGATGCAATCGAGAGTGCATTGAAGGACCTCAACAAGTCAATTTTTGGCTTTGGCCGACAGTATATCACATCATCGATATTAGGCCATTGGACGCATTGATAACTCTTGGTAGTGACATCCTCTGAGAACATTTGGCTGGATAACGTCGGTATTATACGTCGGGGAAACCAGTGAGACACTCATTCCCAAACATGCATTCACATCGGGGGCTTCCAGTTCAAATGTCTCGTTTGCCGAGACTTGATCATTTGATGAGTACGAATGACGGTATCAGTCATTTGTTCGCGGGCAATTTCTCAAGCCAGGGGAGATCGCATGTACTCAACGTAAGGATTGCAATACAATGCTACAACGTCGGATAATGTTGCTCATTCCGCGAAAGGTTCACCCCTTGAAAGGATCTATACATCCACACACAATACAACACGACGGGAGACTCTGGGATAAGTGAGGCATAGACAACGTGATCGATAATATACCAGTCATAACAGCGAGAGCATTGTCAAAACAACAGGTAGGACGAACCGTATCACGTTCTCTGTCGACCATGAATACATAATTCAGGCAGCCGTCGACGTAAGTCAACAACCAAAAGCTTTTAGCGTAGGGGTATAATTCATCATGTTGCAGCGGCAGGCGCGGGAATGGTCTCTGCAACTGCTGTTTTCTCGCTGCTTTCTGGGGCAGTGGCTGAGGGTGTCCTCCCCCGGCCTCGACCCCTGCCTCCTCCGCGCACAGCCCCTCGTATGCCGATTGATTGACGTGGTCCCTTACTTGCATCGTCGCTCTGCTCGGCATTTTTAGCCGGTTTCCATTCACGATTTGACTTTCCAGAGTCCCATTCTCTGCTTTGCATCTGGGGTAAAGCTGTTTAGAAGGTGCTAAAACTAGATAAATGCTACCTACCTTTTCCATCTTGTTGCGGGCGTTCTGTTCGCGAGTTCGATCAATGTTCTCCTGTACTTTCTTGTTCCTCGCTGCCTTCATACGCTCAACCTGTTGTGTCTTCTTGAATGCCTCTTCGTCTGCTTGTACATCCTAGATCGCATTTGAGCAAATGAACAAGGCATACAATATGAAGTCAGCGTACAATGCGTCTCTGTTTGATCTTCTCATTTTGTTCCCTTATCCGCGTCATGCGTTCCGCCAGCTCCTCGTCGCTTGGCTTGTCCTGGGGCCAATGTAATTCCCTTCAGCGGATTTCGAGGACAACAGGAGCGTTACACACTCGTTGGCCACCGGTCTTGAATCGGTCGACGTTCACATATGGTTTCTTCTTCTCCTTTGCCTCGGACCTCTTACCCTCGGACACTGGTGACCTTGCTTCCTCATCCGGCGGCGCCTCATCCACACCCTCTGCAGACTTTGAGGCACTCGCGTCTTCGGCTGACAGCGCTGTACTAGCGTCGTCCGCGGCAGCTTCTGGAGAACCAGACGACTCCGGATCGTCCTTGATCTTGAGAGCATCCAAGTCCAGACCGAGAGAATTCGAAGCGGAGTCAGCAGAGCTGTCCATGGTGGGCGGTGTAGACGAGTTGGAATGAGAGGTGTTGGCGAGAGGTGTCGAGGCGCGAGCCACGGTCGCGACGCGCCTGCGCCGAGATCGGAGACTCGGTGGAAGTTGCCGACGTGTGATCTCATCCCATTGAAGGGCGCGCGATTTTGAAGTAACAACAGACTCTCATCGATCGTATATAACGCGGGCTCGCACTCGTCTCTCCCCAGCACCTCTCTGCCATTGCCCACCATGTCTCTCGCAAACAAACTCTCCATCACAGACCTCGACCTCAAGGGCAAACGCGTCCTCATCCGCGTCGACTTCAATGTCCCCATGCAGGATGGCAAGGTCACCAATCCCGCTGTAAGTCCGATTGTCTGACACAATCGTACATCGCCGCTCACGCTGGGAATCAGCGTATTGTTGCAGCTCTCCCCACCGTGAAGTATGCCTTGGACAATGGTATGTTAGGCTGAAACGCATAGGGTCATCCCGACTAACGCCGAATACAGGTGCCTCCAAGGTCATCTTAATGTCTCACCTTGGCCGTCCGAATGGCCAAGTCGTTCCCAAATACTCTCTCGAACCGGTCGCGGCAGAGGCTGAGAAACACCTCGGCAAGCCGATCATTTTCGTGCACGAATCTGTTGGCCCCGATGTCGAAAAGACCATCAATGAGGCTGCTCCAGGCTCCGTCATTCTTCTCGAAAACCTGCGGTTCCACCTGGAGGAGGAGGGATCAGCCAAAGACAAGGACGGAAAGAAGACCAAGGCAGACCCTGCCAAGGTAAACGAGTTCCGAGAGGGCTTGACCAAGCTTGGAGATGTCTACGTCAACGACGCCTTTGGAACTGCTCACCGTGCACATTCTAGTATGGTCGGCGTTAAGCTGCCTCAGCGCGCTGCCGGCTTCCTCATGAAGAAGGAGCTTGACTACTTCGCCAAGGCCCTCGAGAGCCCCGAACGTCCGTTCCTCGCGATCCTTGGTGGTGCCAAGGTTTCGGACAAGATCCAGCTGATTGAGAACATGCTGGACAAGGTGAGCAGATCAAAAGCATCACGAAACTGGGTCCCCGAGACTCATCGCTCATGAAGGTAAACTCGCTGATCATCTGTGGTGGAATGGCCTTCACTTTCAAGAAGACTCTCGATAACGTATCGGTATGTGCCCCACGTAAACAGTCCCCTCTTGTGTGCTAATATTGTCAAACATAAAGATTGGCAACTCGCTTTTCGATGCCGCTGGCGCGGAAAAGGTTGCAAGCCTTGTGGAGAAAGCAAAGGCGAACAACATCAAAGTTGTCTTCCCGATAGACTTCATCACCGCAGATAAGTTTGACAAGAATGCAACTGTGAGCGCGCCTGATAACGTATTATTACCTGGAGCTGAGCTACCACCTAGACCGGAACTGCCGATGACACGAACGGCATTCCGGAGGGCTGGATGGGTCTTGATTCTGGCCCCAAGAGCCGGGAATTGTTCAAGGCCACTGTTTTGGAGGCCAAGACGATCCTCTGGAATGGGTTAGCGGAATGTTGTTGGTTCGCTGAAGACCTACTGACCGGTACACATACAGCCCACCAGGTGTGTTTGAATTCCCAGCCTTTGCCGAAGGTTCCAAGGCGCTTCTCGATGCAACAATCGAGGCTGTCCAGAAAGGTGCCACTGTCATCATCGGTGGAGGTGACACTGCGACGGTAGCTGCTCAGTATGATGCTGAGGACAAGCTGAGCCACGTCAGCACAGGTGGTGGCGCCAGTCTCGAGCTGCTTGAGGGAAAGGTAGGGTGGCTGCTTGCCTGGGTATATTCTCTTGTTGACGACGGTCCTGCGATATTCAGACCCTGCCCGGTGTTGCGGAGCTCAGCCAGAAGTAAACTCGAAGGAAGGTTGCGCGAGTGTACGAGAAGAATTAAATTAGCAAGTATTGCCTGTAGCGACGAACGAGCATCTAGACAGTCCCGGGCCGTTTGTAATGTAGATTTTGCCTCAAAGCTATCATGAAGCGGACGAAAGCATCCCTATGAGGTAGGACTCATGGCCTACTTATGCCTTCATCTAACGGCACGGATTTGCGAAGCGCAACAGAGCGCAACATCTCAGATGAATTTCAAATGGCCTTGTGAGGGAGTCGGATCTGCACGTGATCGAGGGAGCCGTATGACGGATCTTTGGTTGTGAGATGGCGGGAAGGCTCCCCTACCGTGAGACTGGCAGCCTGCAGCGGTCGTTCGACAATACGGTACATCTAGGTATTACTTCAGAGAACCGAAAGATGGCTCGAGCTCGTCGCCGCTCTGGTAGGTCCACTCAGAAATCCCCTGAGGAGTCAGGGGGTGTAGACGACTCTGCTGCGCCGTCCAAGCAGGAGGGTGACGCCCAGCCCAACGCGCAGGACGATAACACCTGTCCTGCATGCAATCCGGAGGGTACTGAAGAGTGGGCTGCGGCGGACAAGGAGAGCTGGGTCCGCTGTGATGCATGCAAGACGTGGTACCATTGGCGCTGCACCGGAGACGGTGGCGACTTGGACGCGGTCGATAAGTGGTCAGCGCGATTCGTGCATTTTGCCGCTCCAGAGCAGCAGCTGATGCCGTTGCCTTTTGTTCCTCTCCATTGTGCCACTTCCCTCGCACCAGGTTCTGTAAGCCATGCACAGCGCAAGACTCGTCCCGCGTTATTACCATGAAGCCGCCTGCGCGCAAATCCGCTCGGAAACGTACACAACGCGACTACGCCGGCTTACACAACTCCGGAGCAGAGGCAGATCCGGACAGGTGGTTGCGCATGCTGGAAGGAAAGGATTTCGAGCCTGACCCGTTCAAACGGATGAACGGGGACGAGGTGAGTTTGGAGTGGTTGGATACCGATGAGACAGCGATGCGGGAACCTATCGTCATCGAAAGCTCTGAAGGGCTCGGTATGAAGATGCCCTCGAAGGATCTCACTGTTGAGGACGTGGCAGAGATCATAGGAGAGAGCACTCCCGTGGAGGTTATCGGTACGCCAGTTTCACAGTATATAGGCTGAACATCGGCTGTATGACTTTTGTAGATGTCGCCACTCAGTCAAATCTCCCTGGGTGGACTTTGGGCAAGTGGGCAGAGTACTATGGCCTTGACGCTTCTGCGAGGGACAAAATTCGGAACGTTATATCGCTTGAGATCTCCGGTACAGAACTGGCCGACAACGTCTTGCCACCAAGATTGGTCCGGGAGCTAGATTGGGTAGAGAAGTATTGGCCTAATACCAAGAAAGGCAGAGGACATGCCTATCCCAAAGTACAGCTATACTGTCTTATGGGTGTGGCCGGTGCTTGGACTGTGAGTCTCTACTTGTATCTTAGACTGCCGATGTTCTTACCAGCGGCGGCGTCAGGATTGGCACATCGATTTTGCGGGATCCTCCGTCTATTATCATATTTTACACGGCTCAAAAGTACGACTGTTCCCATTTTCCTCGTGCTTACACAAGCGCTGATGTCATATATTAGGTGTTCTATTTTATTCGCCCCACTCCAGCCAACCTGGCTGCCTATGAGCGATGGTCTGGCACTGAGATGCAGAATCATTCCTGGCTGGGTGACATGGTTGACGAAGTATTCAAGGTTGAGTTGCATGACGGCAACACCATGATTATCCCTACTGGCTGGATACATGCTGTTGTAAGTTGGCCACCTCACTCACTTGTCCGTTACATTCATACCTTCTGAAAATTACTTCCAGTACACCCCGGTTGATACCTTGGTTTTTGGAGGAAATTTCCTGCATTCGTACAATGTGTCCACACGTGAGCAAAATTTAAAGCAACAAAGGCGTGGTATTGATTTTTGGTATCCATTCAGAGCTGAAAGTACGTGATATTGAGATTGCCACGCATGTACCAAAGAAATTCCGATTTCCATTCTTTGTTCGGTCAGTACGATTCAACATCTGCAGGACGTTGTTGACATGGCTACTAGGCTTTGCTGGTATGCTGGTGAGAAGTACCTCCGTGATCTGAAAGCTAAAGAAGAGTTTGCGCCGCGTGTGCTCGATTCCGTCGAAGCTCTGGCCGAGTTCCTTGTGTCTGAAGCACGGACTATGGAGCGCGGGACCGAGCAGGCCAAGAAGGAAGCTAAAGAGCAAGTACCTGGCGATCGTGTCAAGGACGCACCCGCTTTGGCACGTGAGCTGCGCTGGAGAGCCCGCTTAGCGGCTGGATATCCCAGCGACGATGAAGGACGCAATAAGCGGAAGAAGAATGGCGCTACCGAATCAGCTAATGGAATTAGCAAACGAAAGCGCTCTCTTGCGGACGCTGACGAAGACAGCACAGGGCCATTCCGAAACTTTAGGCGCAGACTGTGGGAGAGGGTGTCCGAAATCCCCTCAGAAAAGGAGAGCCGAGTCTTGAAGCTGCCTCGGCCCAACGATGCAGGAGGTGATTGGAAGGATCAATGGGTGCTGTGGAAGGAAGAGATGGACAGTGCGGAGGGTGGAGATGAAGTGTTCGTGGACCGACGGCGCGATGTAATTGTCAAGGTGCGGAGGACAGAGAAGGGTGTTGAGCGGCAGAGAGTGGAGAGGGTGCTCGAAGACTGGATCTGGAACGCGGACCCTGTGTCGCCAGCTTCGACTGCAGTTCTGAAAGAAGAGCATGGTGTGCCTGCTTCTGAAATCCAAGGCCAGGAGGTAACGCCCCAAGCCAGTAACAACTCGGATGCGAAGAAGTCCAAGCCTGAAGAAGCGGTGAAGATGGAGATCGACGGTGCGGGTGTTGAGAGTAGTGTACTTGCGGCAGGTGTCGCTGCGGCCGCTGCGTAATGAACTAATAGTATTAGCTATTGTTATTGACTACAGTATGAGTATGTATGTATTTTGCCATACAAGCTCGAGGATTTTCATGTGAGCGGCATGGTCGTCGGCGCTACGTGAGATAAGGCTGATCGCACGCCAGTGATCAGCAACTTTCTTTCCTCGCCGGCAGGTACGCTCGTCCTTGAAGCAGCCCCTCCAGCATACCCAGCACATCTCTATACCTCTTGGAGAAGCCATCTTCGGTAAATCGTCTACTCGTGCTGCCAAACTCATGTCCGACGTGCAAGACCACCAAACACTGCCAGATCCCCGGCAGGCTCGTCGTCAGGGTGTGCTCCCACCGCCCGACCAGCATCGCATGCCCATCCATCGCCACACCCAGGACGATTTTGCTTATTCTGAGGACTATCTTCCGCCTCCTAATGGTGAGCTTGCCGCGTCGTCTCTCCGACTAGCTGTGCCAACCCTAACAACCCTTCACGCTCGCCCGACGGCCTTCACCTGTCACAGCAGCGAATGCGCTCATGTGCCACCAAAACTATTCCGTTCCATCTTTCCCATCGCACCCACACCCCGACGACCAGCAAGACTCATACCCGCCCATGCCTCCTCCCTACGAAGCTACCGAAATGTTCGACAACTTCAGCAACATGCAGATAAGCGACCCTTCCCGAGGACCAGGTCCACAGGCGAGCAACTATGGTGATCCTATTCCCAGAGCGGGAACATCCATGTCTATGCACTCTGTTGCATCCGTCCCACATCCACAGCGAATGCCCCAGCGTCCCGGACTGCCTGTATCACCCGACCAGGGTTTTCGACGCATGCCTCCTGGCCGTCCTAACGAC